CAGCACGCCGTCCCCCAGCAGCATGTCCGCCGCGAAGGCGAAGTAGTAGGCCAGGGGGAGCTCCGGGCGGACCGGGGGGTCCGCCGCCGCCGTCGCGCCCGCGAGCAGCACCCCCAGGGCGGACTCCACGTTCGGCCGGGTCAGGAAGCGAAGGCGGAGGCCCGCGCGGTCGATCCCGCGGCTCACCCGCAGCGCCGCCGCCCAGTTCGCGTCGAAGGCGATTTGCAAAAACAGCGTCCGAACCGCGGCGGTGGAGTACTTCGGGATCGCCGCCGCGACCTCCGCCTCGGGGTAGTCCATCAACAACGTCACATGAGGGAGTCTCTGGCGCGGCTGAGAGCGGCGATGTGGAAGATCCGGCACGACATGCGTGGTCGGGCATTCATGGTATTGACTCACAAGGCTCGTCCGCATAATGTTCTCGGAAGATACTGTGCGGGCTAGTTGGCTTGGCCCCGGCCCGTCCTCCCTCCCTTTATCAGACCCTTCCCCGCCTTTCCAGCCGGGAAGCCGTTTGAAAAACTCCATTGGCCCCTCGCTTTTGCCTACGGTCTCAAGATCAAATCCTTTTAACAGTAAAAGCGGAGGCCCGTGGTGGTGGCGGGCCGCTTCCTTGGCATATTTTGAAGCGACAGCGGGGTTGTGCGTAACAAAGTTGATGGCTTGGTAAACACCGGCCTGCATGATATCGGAACGCTTCGCCCATAATACGGCTGTGGTTGAGGCTAGAAGAAGCAAAATATCATCAACGCCAATAAAAGGCATGGTAACGAGAAACTAAATCGATAATAGAGAATAGTTGAACTAAGAGGCTAATCGCCCTTGCTTCTCTAATCCCTATTGTCAGTGTAGAGAAACTTGACTTGATATAGTGTGATACCGGTTTGGCATTCCTGCTGAAATTTATTAAAGACCTCAAAAGGCATCTCAAAGAGATGTGCAAGATATTGTGTTTTGGATAGTTGTTTGAAGATTTCCACTATTTCAAAAAATACAGCCACACACACACACATATCGATGCGAATGCACTATATACAATTGAGAAGTTTTAGGTTTATCTGGAATGTGAAGAGCTTCTACGTCTAGTTAAAGACAAGTTTCTTTTGTGAATCGAGAAGTCAGAATAAGATCCCCATGTCTATCTAAAGACGCAAATATCATGCTTTCCCAACTGTTGCAGTGCGTGGTGCTCTTCACCTTAAGTTACACACATAAAACAGAAAAAAAGGTAAAATAAAGGGACACAACAGACACCACCACAGCTCCCCTCCTCTCGAGACACCTTTAGCGCATTACGCAAGGCTGATATATTTCGAAGAAAAGTCCGTCTGCAAACCCATCAAAAAAAAAAAAATGGGGCCTGATAACTTCAGATGTGCACATATATTTTTATACAGATTTAGCCTGAATATGCTGGTAGCAAAGTCCTCCACTCTTGAGAGAAGGATATATAGTTACCAAAGAAGAAATATTTCCGAATATGACAATAGTGTGATAATATCCATATGATTATTGGAGTAAAAATCAATTGCTGAAAAGAGGTCAAAAAATTGGTATTGCTAAAAAATACAGTCATATATTTTTAACAATAAAGTGATAAAAAAAATACGGCAGAGCAGAAATAGGACTCTTCTTGTGAAAAGCACTCTAAAGGAAATGCATGTTCTAAATGTTGAAACAAGAACCAATGGCTTGACTCAGAGTGTACATTTGAAAGATAACGACCACAATGAAGCTCGATTAGGTGGAGCCTAAAAGGTAGTAAAGGGATTGGAAAAAGGGGGATATACCATTGTTGGTCAACCAGGAGAAGCTTGGTTGACTATATGTCTCTTGCACCTCTATCGATATTATTTACCTTACTTAAAACAATGCCAAAAATAGTATAGCAAAAAGAATAAACATTTTTGGGATTCAAGAAAATCTATTGAGAAGAGTGTCCATCCTTACAAGGACAATGATAAGAAGAAGAATAATATTAACAATAAAAAAAAAAAGGAAAGAACAGGTTCTGTAGAAGGGAAAGAAAGAAGGAAGATAGGAAAGGGTATAAAGCTGGGGAAGAGGGAAAGGGTAAAAATGATAATGAACTTGCAAAGTCTAATCTATATCCAGCCATTAATACCATG